TTCCTTCCTTCCTTTCTCTGGAACTCATCTTTTTCTTTCTTTTTCTTTCTTTCTTTTTCTTTTTCTTTCTTTCTCAGAGTGAAAGAGAGAGAGAATCTTCCATCCACTGATTTACTCCCAGATGGCTGCAAGGGCTGATCCACGTGGAAGCCAGGAGCCTACAACTCTTTCTTTATCTCTCATGTGGGTGGCAGGGACTCAATTGCTCCGGTCATCGTCATGTACCTCCTCAGGTACATTAACAGGAAGCTGCATTGGAAGCAGAGCCGCTGGGACTCTAATGGGCACTCCTATATGGGATGCTGGCATTGCAAGCAGCAACTTAACCTTTGTGCCACAAAGCTGACCTCTGAATGTATCTTTGAACATTTAGGAATGGATTTTTAAATGCTGGCCAGGGCCAGAGCTGCCCCTTTGTCACAGTACTTTTTTAGGAGAGTCTGTGGGTTATGTTTGCTTCTTTGTTCACCTCTAATGGGGTGGCTGTGCCCCAAGGTGTTTGGTTTGGGAGCAGAGCAGTTCAGTATGTGAAGTCCATCCCTGGGGAAGCATGAGCCTTTGATTCAGTTCAAAGATATTCAACCTAGAAGAAAGCCCTAGGTTCAGTTTTTCAGGTGGTAAATGTCTACAAACCAAAAGCCAGAGTCAAAAAAATCTGCCTACCAAAAAAAAAAAAAAAAAGAGTTGAAAGGAGTTGGACATGGTAATAGTAACCAGGTATTTACTCCAGGTAAAAATGGATCTCCACTTACCTCCTGAATTAATTGCCACCATCTCAGTCTGGAGTTTGCAGCCAGCCACATCTCCCTCCTTTACGTGCCAAGCCTTGTCTGTCCATACTTATGTCAGACTGGGCCAGCTGGCCTCTGCACCTGTGCGCATGGCTAGCGGCCCCACCTGAAGTGTCTTCCCCATTTGCTGCTCACTGCCCCTGACCAGAGTCCTGCCCATCCCCTCCAGTAGCTGGAACGCCATGGCTTCCACCCTGGGATATCCACCACCTCCCACCCTAGCACTGTGTTTTCTGGCCCAGGCCCCACCTTCCTAGGGTCATCTGTGACCTGAACATCTCCACTATTGCTGGAGCCAAGCTCCCCTTTGGCACCCCAGTGCCTCTGGCAGCACTGCACAGAGGAGGATTTGTAGAGTAAAATGAAAACATCTCTGATCCCCAACACTGCAGGCTCCTCTCGAAGTGTTGTATGGGCCAAGAAGAACATAGTTAGGAGTATAATTTTTTTTTTTTTTTTGGACAGGCAGAGTGGACAGTGAGAGAGAGAGACAGAGAGAAAGGTCTTCCTTTGCCGTTGGTTCACCCTCCAATGGCCGCCGTGGTCGGCGCACTGCGGCCGGCGCACCGCGCTGATCCGATGGCAGGAGCCAGGAGCCAGGTGCTTTTTCTGGTCTCCCATGGGGTGCAGGGCCCAAGCACCTGGGCCATCCTCCACTGCACTCCCTGGCCACAGCAGAGAGCTGGCCTGGAAGAGGGGCAACTGGGACAGAATCCGGCGCCCCAACTGGGACTAGAACCCGGTGTGCTGGCGCCGCTAGGCGGAGGATTAGCCTAGTGAGCTGCGGCGCCGGCCTAGGAGTATAATTTGTATCCTAGAAACACACTAAGCAGATGAGGAGGCTTACAATGAAAGAGAAAGCCCTTCCTGCTGTCTTCGGAATACATGATAATGAATTTCAACAGCTGACATCTCTGAGCTATGAAATAGCCTCTGTTCGGTTTCCATTTTTACTATATTGTTAAGAAAAAAAATGACTAGCACACTATAATTTGTCAAAGAAAACCACAGATATCCCTATACAATTGGAGAAAAAAAAAAAGAAAGAAGAATTTACTTGAAAATAAAGAAAGAACTTTTTCCACCAGGGCCAGTTCTGCGACTACTGCAATTCGGAGGACCCCAGGAAGGCACACCCGGCCACCAATGCAATCGATGGGTCTGAGCGCTGGTGGCAGAGCCCCCCTCTCTCCTCGGGCACACAGTACAACAGAGTCAACCTCACCCTGGACCTGGGCCAGGTGAGTCACGCTTTTAACCAGAGGGTCGGGGTTGGGGGGCATTTGTGTGCATCTCTATTGCCATGGTGATTTCTGAGCTACAGACCATGCACAACAGACTCAGTTTAATCTCATGTGTGAACCTGTTACATATGTTGTTCTCCATAATGCAGAAAAATGCATGTCCTAATGCAGATTCCCTTCCTTGTTCTAACAGTTCACTGCAAAAATTTTGCTACTATTTTTAATTATGGTCAAATGCATATAACATGATTTATTGTCTTAACATTTTGAAGTGTATAGTTTGGTGGCATTAAGTACATTCAGTTCTTATACAGGAGCATCATCCACTCTGTTTTCAACTCATAAAACTGCAACTCTGTATCCATTAAACCCTATTCCCTCCAACTACCACCCTATATACTGTTGTTGTTGTTATTTTTTTTTTTTTTTTTTTTTTTTTTTTTTTTTTTTTACAGGCAGAGTAGACAGTGAGAGAAAGAGACAGAAAGGTCTTCCTTTTGCTGTTGGTTCACCCTCCACCGAAGGCAGGAGCCAGATGCTTCTCCTGGTCTCCCATGGGGTGCAGGGCTCAAGCACTTGGGCCATCCTCCACTGCACTCCCGGGCCACAGCAGAGAGCTGGACTGAAAGAGGAGCAACCGGGACAGAATCCGGCGCCCCGACCGGGACTAGAACCCGGTGTGCCAGCGCTGCAGGTGGAGGATTAGCCTATTGAGCCATGGAGCCGGCCCTATATACTGTTAAATGATGACTGAGGACCTCATAGAAGCAGAACCATAGAATGTCTTTTTGCAGCTTACTTCATTCAGTCACATATTTTCACAGTTCATCCCTGTTGTAGTGTGTGTCAGAATTTTCTGCCTTTTCAAGGCTGGGTAATATTCCATAGATCACATCATGTATCCATTCATACACTGATGCACACTTGGGTTGCTTCCACCCGCTGGTTATTGTGAATAATGCTGTGAGCTTGTGTGTGACAGATATAGGTCATGGCGTTCCTTTTCCTGGAAACTCTGACTTTTTAGGACCACTGACAGCCATAGTTTGGGCCTTGTTTGACCAGCTAGGCTTCAGGTCTGTCCTCTTGAGAAAAGCTGAGAAGACCCTTGGGATGCCTACCTCTTGGTGCTTACAGCCATAGAATACTTTCACCATCAGTCAACACCTGTTGTAATTCAGAGGCATCCGTTACGGTTCAAAAGACTCCAACTCCTGGGGCCTTCACTGTGGCATGGCAGGTAAGGCCGCGGCCTGCAGTGTGGCATCCCAGTGTGGCCGGTTCAAGTTCCAGCTGCTCCACTTCTGATCCAGCTCTCTGCTATGGCCTGGGAAAGCAGTAGAAGATGGCCCAGGTCCTTGGGCTCCTGCACTCACATGGAAAACCTGGAGGAAGCTTCTGGCTCCTGGCTTCAGATTGGCACAGTTCTGGTCATTGCAGCCAACTGGGGAATGAACCAGTGGATGGAAGACCTCTCTCTCTCTCTGCCTCTCCTTCTTTATGTAACTCTGACTTTCAAATAAATAAATAAATCTTAAAAAAAAAAGACTTCAACTTCCATTTCAACCATGAATTAGTCTTTTTTTTTAAAAAGAGATTTATTTATTTGATTTGAAAGGCAGAGTTACAGAGAGGCAGAAAGAGATAGAGAGAGAGGGAGATAGAGAGAAAGAGAGAGAGAGAGAGAGTTGTTTTCCATCCGCTGGTTCACTCCCCAGATGGCTGCAATGGCTGGAGCTGTGCCGATCCGAAGCCAGGCTTCTTTGGGGTTTCCCAAACAGGTGCAGGGGCCCAAGGACTTGGACCATCTTCCACTGCTTTCCCAGGCCATAGCAGAGCACTGGATGGGAACTGGAGCAGCTGGGACTCAAACTGGCACCCATGTGGGATGCCAGCACTGCAGGTGGCGGCTTTACCTGCTATGCCACAGCACTGGCCCCCAACCATGAATTAGTCGTGTCCATCTGATAGCTAACCTCTAACATTAATTCAGTAGATGTATCCTGTAATAACCACAATTTACTTGTTGTATCACTTATTAACTGAGGGTTTCTATAGTTAAGAGGGACTTTTAATTTTATTTATTTAATTTATTTGAAAGGAAGACACAGAGTTCTCCCATCTGCTGGTTCACTGCCCAAATGCTTGCAACAGCTGGGACTGAGTTAGGTCAAAGCCAGGATCCAAGAACTCAGTCTGGGTTTCCTCTGTGGGTGACAGAGCCCAAACGGCTTGGCCATCATCACTGTCTCCCACAGAGCACATTAGAGGAAGCCACCAGGGAATTTTAAACACTCAAAACGATCCATGGTAAATATCCCAATGCCTGCTGGACTTACTCTTTTTTCCTTTAAGCTATTTTTTATAAATCTAGTTTTTATAGCATTCATTTGATGTACTGAAAAGCCCATAATTAACGTAGTTAAACTCATAAAGCACCAACATGGGAACAATTTAGTGACTTGCTGGTTGAGGGCAGACACTATTGCATGCATATTCATGACGACGGGATCCAGCACATCCTCACTGACCCAGTCCAGGGCTGCTCTGTGAGCCTGTGAGCGGACTGAGGCTGTGGGACTGCAGTGAGCTGGCCGGGACCAGTGCTAATGACACTGCTCACGGAGGAGCCCGTGTGTCACTCCCCTCCCTCACTATGAGCCCATGTGTCACTGCCCTCCCTCACTAGGAGCCCGTGTGTCACTGCCCTCCCTCACTAGGAGCCCGTGTGTCACTCCCCTCCCTCCCTCACTAGGAGCCCGTGTGTCACTCACCCTCCCTCACTAGGAGCCCGTGTGTCACTGCCCTCCCTCACTAGGAGCCCGTGTGTCACTGCCCTCCCTCACTAGGAGCCCGTGTGTCACTGCCCTCCCTCACTAGGAGCCCGTGTGTCACTCCCCTCCCTCCCTCACTAGGAGCCCGTGTGTCACTGCCCTCCCTCACTAGGAGCCCGTGTGTCACTCCCCTCCCTCCCTCACTAGGAGCCCGTGTGTCACTGCCCTCCCTCACTAGGAGCCCGTGTGTCACTCCCCTCCCTCACTAGGAGCCCGTGTGTCACTCCCCTCCCTCACTAGGAGCCCGTGTGTCACTCCCCTCCCTCACTAGGAGCCCGTGTGTCACTCCCTCCCTCACTAGGAGCCCGTGTGTCACTCCCTCCCTCACTAGGAGCCCGTGTGTCACTGCCCTTCCTCACTAGGAGCCCGTGTGTCACTCACCCTCCTCACTGAGGAGGCCCTATCTGTATTTAACAGCTCTGCCTCAGTGTCGTCATTTTAGAGATGATTGTGCCGCCTCACAGAATTGTATCAGGTTTAAATGAGTCAACTGCTTCATTTTAAAATCTCTTTTGGGCCTTGGTAATAATATTTATTTAATAAAATAAACTTCAGTAAGAACTTATTAAAAGAATGGAACACAACTTTTGGGTTTCTAGAAAATATTTTATTTATTTTTTTCACTTTATTTTAATAAATATAAATTTCCAAAGTACAGCTTATGGATTATAATGGCTTCCTCCCCCCCATAACTTCCCTCCCACCTGCAACCCTCCCATCTCCCACTCCCTCTCCCATTCCATTCACATTAAGATTCATTTTCAATTATCTTTATAAACAGGAAATCAATTTAGTATATATTAGTAAAGATTTTAATGGTTTACACCCACACAAAAACATAAAGTGTAAAATACTGTTTGAGTTATAGCATTAATTCACATTGAACAACACATTAAGGATAGAGATCCTACATGAGGAGTAAGTGCACAGTGACTCCTGTTGTTGACTTAACAAATTGACACTCTTGTTTATGGCATCAGTAATCTCCCTAGGCTCTTGTCATGAGTTGCCAAGGCTATGGAAGCCTTTTGAGTTCGCCGACTCCGATCTTATTTAGACAAGGCCATAGTCAGAGTGGAAGTTATCTCCTCCCTTCAAAGAAAGGTACCTCCTTTGATTTGATGGCCCGTTCTTTCTACTAGGATCTCACTCACAGAGATCTTTCATTTAGGTCATTTTATTTTCTTTCTTTCTTTTTTCTTTTTTTTTTTTTTTTCCAGAGTGTCTTGGCTTTCCATGCCTATAATACTCTCATGGGTTCTTCAGCCAGATCCAAATGCTTAAGGGCTGATTCTGAGGCCAGAGTGCTGTTTGGGACATCTGCCCTTCTATGAGTCTGCTGTATATCCCGCTTCCCCTGTTGGATTGTTCTCTCCCTTTTGAATTCTATCAGTTAGTATGAGCAGACACTAGTCTTGGTTATGTGATCCCTTTGAATCTTAGACCTATCATTATGATCAGTTGTGAACTGAAATTGATCACTTGGACTAGTGAGATGGCATTGGCACCATGCCACCTTGATGGGATTGAATTGGAATCCCCAGACACGTTTCTTTTTTTTATTTTTTATTTTTTATTTGACAGGCAGAGTGGACAGTGAGAGAGAAAGACAGAGAGAAAGGTCTTCCTTTGCCATTGGTTCACCCTCCAATGGCTGCTGCGGCTGGCGCGCTGCAGCTAGCGCACCGCGCTGATCTGATGGCGGGAGCCAGGTACTTATCCTGGTCTCCCATGGGGTGCAGGGCCCAAGGACTTGGGCTATCCTCCACTGCACTCCCTGGCACAGCAGAGAGCTGGCTTGGAAGAGGGGCAACCGGGACAGAATCCGGCGCCCCGACTGGGACTAGAACCCGGTGTGACGGTGCCGCAAAGGCGGGGGATTAGCCTAGGGAGCCGCAGCGCCGGCCAGCATGATTTTTTCCAGATTCCTCCATTTTGTTGCAGATGACTGGATTTCATTGTTTTTTACTGCTGTATAGTATTCTATAGAATACATGTCCCATAACTTCTTTATCCAGTCTATTGTTGATGGGCATTTAGGTTGATTCCAGGTCTTAGCTATTGTGAATTGAGCTGCAATAAACATTAAACTGTCTCTCTCTAGAAAATATTTTAAAAATTTATTTATTTATATAAAAGGGAGAGTTAGAGAGAGATAGGCAG